CAAAAAAAAAAAAAAAAAAAAAGAAAAGAAAAGAAAAGAAAAAGAAAAGAAAAATTAGCCAGCTGTGGTTATATGTGCCCAAGGTACTAGCTACTCGGGAAGCTGAGATGGGAAGATCCTTTGAGCCTGGGAGGTTGAGGCTTCAGTGAGCTGTAATAGTGCGACTATATATCCCAGCCTGGGTAACAGAGTAAGACCCTGTCTCAAAAAAGAAAAAACAAAACAAAAAACAAAAACAAACTCTAAACCAAACGTTGAAACTAAAACAATGACTAACACTGTGTGGCACCACCACTGGGCAAATGGCAGAAATAATTATTCATAACTATTCAACTGAGAAAGGTAGAACTTCGTAGGCTGTAGCCTTTATCACCTAAGGGGACACATTTAATCAAAGAACACACTGATGCAGAAGGGGACTCTTCCATGAGGACAGAAAGTTGCTAGGCTTCCACAGGGGGCCAGGGCTGGGACACAGAAAGACTGGACAATACTATTTAGCAATGGCAATGGTGATTATCTTGTGGGGTTACCAGAAAGGGCACTTCAAGAACAGCTGGGCATGGTGGCTCACGCCTGTAATCCCAGCATTTTGGGAGGCCGAGGTGGGCAGATCGCAAGGTCAGGAGTTCGAGACCAGCCTGGACAGCATGGTAAAACCCTGTCTCTACTAAAAATACAAAAATTAGCTGGGCATATTGGTGCATACCTGTAGTCCCAGCTACTCAGGAGGCTGAGGCAGGAGAATCACTTGAATCCGGGAAATGGAGGGTGCAGTGAGCTGAGTTCATACCACTATACTCTAGCCTGGGCAACAGAGTGAGACTCCATCTCAGGAAAAAAAAAAAAAAAGAAAAGAACAGGGCTGGGCTCAATGGCTCATACCTATAATCCCAGCACTTTGAGAGGCCAAGGCGGAGAATCACTTGAGCCCAGGAGATCGACACCAGCCTGGGCAACATGGCGAAACCTCATCTCTACAAAACATAAAAAAATCGAGAGAGAGAGAGAGAGAGAGAGAGAGTGAGAGAGAGAGAGAGAGAAAGAGAGAGGGACAGAGACAGGGGTGAGGAGGAGAGTGAGTGCGCAAGACCCTGTCTTTTGAGACGAGCTCAGTCCCCTGAAACAACATGCTGAGTCTTATACGCACATACATCTTTCTGAGGAAAGGGTTCACAAGTGTTCACAAATTTTCAAACAGGTGCTTAACCCAGAAAGGGTCGAAATTTCACCACGAGCTACCATTTAAAGAGGAGGACATCACCTAGGCAAGCTGCCAGGGCAGTGTTTAATTGTTCCCAGGAGCACTGTCCCATCATTCATGATGAAGGTGGCATTATACATCTTGAACTGCTCCTCCTCAAACTTAGCACCAAACCCATTTCATTTCCTAATTCATAAAATGGGGACAATCATATCTACCATATGATAATAGTATTACTCAGCCACTTTTCCAGGGACATTTTATTGATTTATTCATTTATTGATTGAGATGGAGTCTCACCCTGTTGTCTAGGCTGGAGGGTAATAGTATGACCTCGGCTTATTGCCAACTTCTGCCTCCCAGGTTCAAACGATTCTCCTGCCTCAGTTCCCTAGTAGTTGAAATTAAAGGCGCCTGCCACAACACCCAGCTAATTTTTGTATTTTTAGTAGAGATGGTGTTCCACCATGTTGGCCAGGCTGGTCTCAAACTCCTGACCTCAGGTGATCCACCCACCTCGACCTCCCAAAGTGCTGGGAATACAGGCATGAGCCACTGTGCCCAGCTGGACATTTTACTTATTCGTAAATGTTTTTAATTTTAATTTTTTGAAACAGGATCTTGCTCTGCTGCCCAGGTGGGAGGCATGATCTTGACTCACTGCAATGTCCATCTCCCTGGCTCTAGAGATCCTCCCACCTCAGCCTCCTGACTCCTGAGTAGCTGTGACTTTTGTAGAGATGGTGGTCTCCCCATGTTGCCCAAGCTGGTCTGGGTTCAAGCAATCCTCCCAAAGTGGTAGAATTACAGGCATAAGCTACTGCACCCAGCCAAGGGAAAATTTATTAAGCATCTACTCTATGCCAGGTATTGGGCTAGACATTAAGGATTCTGAGAAGGTGTCTGTCCACATGGAGCTTGGATCAGAAAAAAGGTTGTTTCTCTGGGCTTACATATAAAATATGACAAATAAAAAGCACCTGCTTGCTAGAGCTTTTGGCGAGAATGAAATGTGATAAGGCTTGTAAAGGGCCTAGCATATAGTAAATTGTCAGTAAGTGGGAGCTACTATTCCTAATAGGGGCCAGGAGTCCTTTGCCAATACTGGGGATGCCACCAACCGAGTCAGGTGGAAGGGCCCAACAGTCCCCAGCTGGAACTCCTAGACCCTCAAACCCAAGATTCAGGAGATGGTACGTGTTGTACCATGAGCCTGGGACGGCTGCTGCTTTCACTATCACTTTTCTTACTATAACAGGGAGACCTTCTATGAATGGTGAGGCTCTACTAAGAAAGGAAAAACGCTTCAAAACTAAGGAAGTAGACAAGGATATAAAATAAGTTGTCTAAAAGGATGTAAGAAATGAAGGATGCCAGGCCGGGCGCGGTGGCTCAAGCCTGTAATCCCAGCACTTTGGGAGGCCGAGGCGGGTGGATCACGAGGTCAAGAGATCGAGACCATCCTGGTCAACATGGTGAAACCCCGTCTCTACCAAAAATACAAAAAATCAGCTGGGCATGGTGGCGCGTGCCTGTAATCCCAGCTACTCAGGAGGCTGAGGCAGGAGAATTGCCTGAACCCAGGAGGCGGAGGTTGCGGTGAGCCGAGATCGCACCATTGCACTCCAGCCTGGGTAACGAGTGAAACTCGGTCTCAATAAAAAAAAAAAGGATGCCAATGATGATTCCCAGGAAGCAGACTTGCGCTTGCCCTAATCTCCTAGTATAAGCTTTCCATGGGTGCTCAGACAGCACCTCAGGGGAGAAGGTAAGTCTGAAGCCGTTGGACTGCAGGCCCTACCTGCCAGCTGGCTGCAGGCTGAACCGTGGTAAGTATGAAAGATACTGGGGATGAGAACAGGGCATGGGGTGAACATGGGGCAAAAGGTAAAGTGCTTCCCAAGCAAGATGGGGTAGGAGGAGATTCCAAACACACCCAGCAACCAAGAATGCAGAGTACTCTGGCTATCTGGGATAAACAGAAACAAGATGCTGGGCGCCAGCTGTCCCCAGCAGGCAGGAAGGAGGGGGCTGTGTGAGGATGGGGATGTGAGAAACTGCCACCAACAATGGGGTCAAGGCTACCTACCCCAACCTCCAATCTCCATCCCACGTGAAAAATGTAGGGGGAGCCCCTCCCTCAATGGGATGTACAGAAGTGAGGCTGACGGTGCAAGGGCAGCGGCCCTGCCGTCCATGCAGCCTCTACATGACAGTGCCACTGAAGGCAACACCTGAGGCATGACTGCCATGTGGTGAAGAGAACAGCCTCAGAAACCAGACTGCCTGGGTGCAAATTCTGGTACCACACTCCCTAGCCTGGGCAAGCAACTTCTTTCCTATACCTTACTCCTTCTTTTATAAATCAGAGATCACAGGAGCTCCTACCTCACAGGGCTGATGGGAGATGAAAAGAGTATCCACATAAAAAACATTGTCTTTGTGTGGCATACAGTGGGCTTTCAGTAAGTCATATCTATTATTATTCGTGGTGTCGTCATTCTAGGCTACAAAAATATGTACATTCCCATTCTCCACTTAAGATTGTTCCCATCGCTGCACTCTTTCCTGCAGTTTGTCTGCAGGGAGCTTCCAAATCCGGCTCAAACAGTCCTGCGGGTGGCCATTACGCCCTTCTCAGATTGGGCATAGAAACTGCAATTTTCACATCACTCTGGGATACAAGAAAATGTGAGCCGGGCCGGGCGCGGTGGCTCAAGCCTGTAATCCCAGCACTTTGGGAGGCCGAGGCGGGTGGATCACGAGGTCAACAGATCGAGACCATCCTGGTCAACATGGTGAAACCCCGTCTCTACTAAAAATACAAAAACTTAGCTGGGCATGGTGGCGCATGCCTGTAATCCCAGCTACTCAGGAGGCTGAGGCAGGAGAATTGCCTGAGCCCAGGAGGCGGAGGTTGCGGTGAGCCGAGATCGCGCCATTGCACTCCAGCCTGGGTAACAAGAGCGAAACTCCGTCTCAGAAAAAAAAAAGAAAATGTGAGCCAGGAAAAGAAGTATGGCCACCGCACACTTTTCCTCCCCCTCCAAATATCTCCTCAGTGCCCATCACATAGAAGGAAGTTAGATTTGGGCAAAGGAAGAATTTAGACCAGAGAGAAGGGTCAGGAGGAAAAAAAAAAAGTAGCCTTAGGAAAATGGTGTGACAAACAAATTGAGCCAAATGTCCCCAGAACAAATTTACCGACCCCAAGACAAAGTGTTAAGGGCTGGGTCTCCAAATTGTCCTTCTTAGCCCAAATGTGACATGGACATAGACTCGGTCAATCATTTAACCAGGCACGACTCTGCACTACAAGACAGAAGGACAAAGCCTCCCCAGAGTCCACTCCAGTGGCCAGGAACCTGCAAAAGGCAAATTTAGTATCTCTGGGCAAATAGCAAGGTCCGCAAAGAATGTACAATATATTCGGGGGTATGCTACAGTTTTAGCAACCCAAATGTTCCAGAAGACACTCAAAAGACTGTGCTAGTTACTGGTTATATGACCCTGTATGAGATGCTTCCCTTCTGAAAGAGACACTAACGCGTACCTAACAGGGTTATGGGTCATCCAGTACAGAGCCTTGAGAGGCTCCTGGTGCGGTGGCTCATGGGTACACAGACATTTATTTCTCTACAAATACCTATAGTGTGTGGGTTAAAAAGAGCAGGGCATGGGTCGGGCGCGGTGGCTCAAGCCTGTAATCCCAGCACTTTGGGAGGCCGAGGTGGGTGGATCACGAGGTCAAGAGATCGAGACCACCCTGGTCAACATGGTGAAACCCCGTCTCTAGTAAAAATACAAAAAATTAGCTGGCCATGGTGGTGCGTGCCTGTAATCCCAGCTACTCAGGAGGCTGAGGCAGGAGAATTGCCTGAACCCAGGAGGCGGAGGTTGCGGTGAGCCGAGATCGCGCCATTGCACTCCAGACTGGGTAACATGAGTGAAACTCCATCTCAAAAAAAAAAAAAAAAAAAAAAGAGCAGGGCTTGGCGAGGTGCGGTGGCTCATGCCTGTAATCCCAGCAATTTGGGAGGCCAAGGTCTCTACTAAAAATATAAAAATTAGCTGGGCATGGTGGCAGGAACCTGTAGTCCCAGCTACTTGGGAGGCTGAGGCAAGAGATCTGCTTGAACCTGGGAGGCGGGGACTACAGTCAGCGAAGATTGTGCCATTGTACTCCAGCCTGAGTACAGGCTCCGTCTGAAAAAAAAAAAAAAGAAAAGAAAAAAAAAAGGCAGGGGGTTTTGATGCCATGGTGATGAATGGAGAGAAAATGTACAGACATTAAGAGCACAGGTTCTGGAGTCTCTTTTACGGGCCCCAGTGTTCTTTTTTTTTGAAATGGAGTTTCACTCTTGTTGCCCAGGCTGGAATGCAAGGGCACAATCTCAGCTCACTGCAACCTCCACCTCCTGGGTTCAAGCGATTCCCCTGCCTCAGCCTCCAGAGTAGCTGCGATTACAGGCATGCACCATCACAACCGGCTAATTCTGCATTTTTAGTAGAGACGGGGTTTCTCCCTGTTGGTCAGGCTGGTCTCAAACTCCTGACCTCAAGTGATCCACCCGCCGTGGCCTCCCAAAATGCTGAGATTACAGGTGTGAGCCACCACGCCTGGCCTATCTTCCTCTTTTTTTTTTTTTTTTTTTTTTTT